ATTAGAAATATTTTCAATAAATAAAAAATAATTAAATATTTTTCTGACGACGGAACCTCTTCAAGAAAATAAATAAGATTCTTGAATACTCTTAAGGTGAGAAAATATTTTAAGAATTCTTATAGATTGATGGAGAAATCTTAAAAGTTATTTTCAATATTCAACATTAAAATAAAAATCATTAGAACCAAGATAATTATTAGGATAATTTAAAATTAAACGATACCATCTTAAGATAGGCGTTGTGGGGGTACTGTAACATTCTCCACACGTAATTGAACTCTCAAACTTAATTCTGTTCAGAAAATCAAAACTTATTCTTTTAAGACCTTTAATTAAGCTTAAGAGTTCCTTAGAAAGATAAATTTATTACACTTAATTAAAAAAAATTGTGACAATTCTATTTGTTAAATCTAACTATAAATTTATGGATATATATATGTTATGACAAATTTATTTTACTTTCTATTTATTAGACATGACACTATTAGTCCATTATTTATTAGACATGACACTATTAGTTCATAAATTATAACCACATGGTGTCCAAATAAAGATATGACATGTGAAAAGTTAAAAGCAATATACTTGCGCTTTTATGTGAAAGTTTAAACATTTACTTTTTTATTTGCTGTTTGGTAACATCGAACATGGAACGAGAATAAGGTTCGACAAAATGAGTTGTTTATCTGTGTTTTCATTTTTTTTAGGTTTTTTCAATTTTCTTGAAAAACAATGAAAATGACTTTTTTTATTCTCATAATTGGATTCATTTTTATTTTTTAAAAAACATTTTCTTTAAACTGCTACTATATATGTTTTCTTTATCATTTTAAATTTTTAATGAAAATTAAAAAAATGGTTTGATTTTTTTAAACCAAACACAACCTCATATTTTTTCTAAACCAATGACACTATAGATGAAAATATATCATACAAATAAATAACCAATAAGCAATAAATCAGCTATTAGCCCGTTTGCCATTTTTTTATAGTTAAGATGAGAGGTTTTTGAATTTTGTTTATTAAAATTCAAAATTCAACACTCTACTAACATATGATGTGATTATTGATTGCTTATCACCATATATTTTGATTAAACTAAAATAAAACTATTTTTTAACTGCATTTTATATAAGTACATAAAACTTTTATTATCAAATAATCATCATTAAATAGCTGTAAAACGTAGTCTGAAAGCTATTGAAATACCTTAAAATACTAAAAGCAAGTTTCTGGATGAGAAAAAAGAAAATATTATTGAATGATCATTTGATTTTTTTTTATTTAATTAATAAAAGTTGTTTATTGTTTTCAGAATGGAAAAATAGACAGTAATCATAGTTGTGGTTACACGAACTTGTTACAAATACCTAGCAATAGTCATCGCCAAGCAATTGTCGACCTTCGAGTAAAGGTGTCACAACAATCAACGCGTTGATTAAGTACACAAATTTTTACATTGTCCTAATTTCCATGACATTGGCCTATTTGCCATCCTAGGTTAAATCCACATTTGAAATTTTTTCCTTTCTTGGGGAAAAGTTTATTTATAGAAAATTTCTTAGATGCAAAAATTTTTGGGGCTATGATTGCATCAATTGGTATTCGAAGTTGAGATTTTGGTGGCATTTGGGATCGTCCCGGTTGCGACAATGCAAACTACTAGCAGCATCATTCCCATAACTCCAATGTGTTTGTCCATTTTTTATGCTATCATGAAAAGAAAGCTATCAGATTTCATTTGTGTTGTGCTTCAAAGAACAATAGTGGGAGAATTTGCAGTGATGCGTAAAGAGAGAAGCATTTGAAAACATACCTGAGCATTTGCTTTTATTAAATGATTATATATTGGCTTGGCAATTTCTTGTTTCTCAAAATTTAAAACATTAACGTATTAAGTACCTTGTATAATCTTAAACAAAAAATGCCTTAATATTATATTTTGAATTAAGCAGAAACTATTTTCTTCAGCTTTTATGGTGAAGTTATAAAGTTTGAAATAAATTAATGACAATATTTAACACTTAACAGTGTGTCTCTTGAATTCTTAATAGAATCAATTTTTTTTCTTTTGTTTTACTTGTTAAAGTCTAGTAAATATATGCATTATAATTTCTACTATTAATTTCTCGTTGTTTGTTCACTCTTTGATTCCACGGAGGCCTATATTGAAGGAGATAATAAATTCTGGGTTAGAAAAGAAGAAACAAACTGACCCCAACATTGAAGGAAATAGTAACACTTTTATTTCATGAGGTTACATATTATTGAGTGTTTACAATTTTTATTGTTCAACAATTTGTCTTTGATTTTCACATTATATAAATTTGTTTTTTTTATAATTTCATGTTATATTAAATTATTAACAAGGAGAAATGAGTCCAAGGTGCATGAGGGTTTAAGTTCAAAAAAACAAAGTTGCATATAAGCTTGTAATAAAATTAACTTTTATATATATTGACCTTGGATTGTGTTAAGAATAGAGCATGAAAGAAAAAGGGTTAAGTTAAAAATAAAAGGGTAAATTACATACCACCTTATGATTTGAGACGGATTTAAAGTGAACCCTAAGGTTTAAAATATAACATTGAACTACCGTATGATTTGTTTTATTACTTTTTTGCCCAAAATTGTGACTTTTTCTGTTATTTATAAATATTTTTAGTTTTTGGGTTTTTTCTGTATTCAACACTAGAAGAGGGAATGAACAAATAGAAAAAAATAAAAGCAAGAAATTGCAGAAAAATTTCTTTGCGAGTAAAGATGTCCAAAGTTTTAGAATTGTTTTTATAGTTTCTTTCTGGGTTTAGTTTAAGAGGCAATTTGCAAGTAGAATCAATTGAGAGAGCAATTTGGGCAAAACAATTAGCCTCAAAGATTAGAAATACAACAGGAATAGCTTGGGCATAAGAAGCAAAAGAAAATCAAGTAATAGAAAGAATCAACAAACATTTATGTAAAGTCGGCACCACAACCCGTACTAGCATCAATCGAATAAAGTGCTGACATTAGAAAGCACACAAATAGCTCAATTCCTAGAATCAAGCAGCCAACAGAGAAAGCAAACAATTTTTAGTAAATCAAAGCAATACATAAACAATTTAACACATCCAAACCTAAATCCTACACACAACCAAGAAACCTATGCACAATATTGAGTAAATCCAAATCCAAAAATGGAACCCAAGCTCGAATTAGCAAAAATTAAAAAGTAGAAATCTAGGAAGCCTACAATTGAAACATCCAATCATACAAGCAATACATAAAAAATAAAAAAAGTTCCTTTTAAAATTTTTGGATGCTTTGAATCGATGGCTAGAAGGCTAATGAAGGAAATTAGATAGTGAAAAAATTTGAATTATTGGAGAAGAAGAAAAAAATTTTTGAAAAAATGGATATAATGAAAAAAGTCACTATTTTGGGCAAAAATGTAATAAAACAAATTATAAGATAGTGAAATGTCACATTTTAAAACTCTAGGACCACTTGAAATCACCTTAAATCACATGATGGTTTTAACCTTTCAAAAAATATAATCACAATAAAATGTGTTAAAATGTACTATCATAAATTTATAAATTTTACGTTGCTCCTCATAAATTATTACTAATAAACATAATAATTTTAGATAAATTATTTGATACATGGTCAATAGATTTTTTTTAATTTCACAAACAAAATTTATTCGATGACATATTTCTTATTTCTTTTTTAAATTAGTTTTTTATTTTTTTATTTTTTTTAGATATACATCAAGTGCTAATGATCCATTTTCAAGGGTGACACTCGCACACTACACCTAAACTTGTTCTAAACCTATATAATCAGGTTTGATAAGGTCGAGTGTTTAATTATGAATATCATAACTATCCCTAAGCAGTCAGTTATGTATTCTTATTATTTGACAATCTCATAAAAAAACATTAGCATAATGCTGCCAAGAATTTAGAATATTTTAAGAACTTTTTTATGCTAATTAGTACACTATAAAAGCAAATTATCTAAAGCACAAAGCGAAGGCATACTTACCAATTATATATCCCATAGGTAACCAATTAAATTTGACTAATATGAATTTAAACAAATAAATTAGAGGAAGGTAACAAAAGAAGTGTGGATATATACACGCATACAAAGTGTTGAGAACTGAAATATCCTAAAGGCCATTGCATGAAAAAGAATAATTTTAATGGCCAAAAAAATAAAAAAATAATTTAATTAAGAAGCCATCTTAAATTTTAAGAATCGATTTACTAGCAGCTTTGAGCTTGAATTTATATAAACTATATACTACAAATAATGGTAATTATAATTGCTATAATTTAAATATTTAATATTTGAAAATAAAACAATTTTAGAAGAGCATATATATATATATATATATATTGTAGAATTGTCGGATATGAAATACTAATATATACTGGTATGAATTCCTTGCATACCAATATTTCTAAAAGTCATGGAGAAGTTAGATCTTAAATACTTTACAAAATTAAAATTGATAATTTTTGAATAATTTAACTTTTTTGGCATTATTAGGTCACTTAGCTTTTAATGTCTTAAAAAAAACTTTTATAAAGCAATGTTAGAAATTAATCTATTGTAAATAGCTCCATGTGCTTCATGAAGAGAAAAGAAATAGATATCGGAATGTATTATTTAAGTGCAATATTTTAGTGCATGAAACACTGTTCTTTCTTAGAACAAAAACAAATCTAAACAATCTCTCTTAAATATTGTTCATAATTTTCAAAAGGAAAATGCTATATACATTCACCTAATGCACACATTTCACACACTCATACAAAATACAAGTTTTCAAAATTCTATTATAACTTCATAAAGATGTTAGTAATTTGCATTTAAATCTCTAAAATATGAAATAGAAGAATATATGAGTGCATCATTTGACAGTAACATTTTAGTGCATGGTAGTATCCTTCTCAATATGAAACAAAGATCAATTATCAGTCCTTATTGTATAGATAGATGTACCTTTATTTGCTAAGAAGTAGAGAACATAGCCCAAAAATCTGGACATTAACTAAATTAATCATCTTCTTGCTTACCCTATAAACTCAAGAAACTATTACAACTTTATTAGACCAAACTGCTCTAGCCAATGCTAGTAAATAGCTACCAGGTAGGTGGAGCACCGCCCCCATTATGGGAGCAGCTATCCTTGAGTTTTGGCACGAAAGGAGGATTTGTTGGGAACATTTTAGGCCAACAGTTTTCCTGTATGGAAAGAATTGCTTGACAACAAGCAGGGGAAATGTTGCCAAATTGGCCACTGAAAATAGACCTGTAAATTTCCCATGCACATCCTTGGATGCTCATTATAGATGACCAGCATTGGATTACATCGTTTGGTGTTCCTGGTGGGAATAGGCCTGGAATTTGTGGTTTGGTTCCATGTGGTGTTGACAGTACCTGGGCTACCCCTGGCTGCACAAGAACTACAGTGCATGCGGTCGCTGCTAGGAAAAGGAAAGCTATAGCTTGAGCTGTTTTAGACATGGTTGAGATAAAAATATATTGCAATACCGAAGTAAAGCTTATTGGTTTGGTAATTTCATGGTTCAAGAAAGAAAACCAGCCTGAATTTATAGATGGGTATGAAAGGCAAAGTTTTGGAATGAAATTGATGACTGACGGAGCAAATATTAATTTTGAATTCTTGTTAGAATTTATTTTTGTAGACACCCAATTTGATCCAGGTCCGGATCAATTGGGCCTGATCCAAATGGATAAGCCCATGTTATTTTTTATTTTGTATTTTATATTTTTATATTTTTGTATCTTATGTATTTATTATTACTATTTATTAATATATATTTATTTTTTTTATTTTTTATTATTTATCTGTTAATATATATTTATTATTATTTATCTATTTATATTGTTATTATCTGTTAATATATATATGTATTTATTATTATTTATCTATTTATATTATTATTATTATTATTATTATCTATTAATATTTTTATTTATCTAATTATTTTCTTTTAATTATCTATTAACATTTTTTTATTTGATTTGATTTTCTTTTTCTTCTTATTCGGCTGGGATTGGGATGAAAATTTAGAATTCTACCGTGAATTTGGAATTCAATCAGAGTTCATATTAGATTCAAAGATTGAATCTCAATCCAAGGAGGAGTTGGGATTGAAATTTCTGATCAATCCCTATAAATAGATCCACGAATCACAAAGACCAGGACATAAAAACGTAGACACTAACTGAGAAAAAGAGCGAAAAAAGGTGTTCAAAAGGGTCAGAAGCAATTTCAGGAATTTTTTAGAATTTAGGTGAATTTTTTTCTGAAAATTTTTTGAAAAATTTTCAGATTTCGGTAGAATTTTTTGGCGAAAGTTGAATTTTTCAGTTAGCTACCCAGTTTTCGATAACTATTTTCAGAAACCGACTAACTTACCGGTGAATTTTCGATGAAAACCCCAGATTTTGACGACGTTTTTTAGAATTCGACGAGATTCAACCGGAGTTCTTTGTTTGTTTAGAGAAAGAGATGAGGAAAAGAAGAGAAGAGAGAGACAAGAAAGGAGAGATCCTTTCTTCCTCAAGCCAAGCCGTTCCCAGGTTTTTTCTTTTCTTTTCTTTTCTTTCATTTTATTTATTATTTATTTATTTATTATTATTATTATTTATTGATTAGATTAGAATTATTTAGTATTTTTTATTTTATTTTATTCTATTTTTATCTTTATTGTTATTTTATATTTATTTTTTTTATTTTCTTTAAATAAACTTCCAAAAAAAATAATATTTTTAAGGAAAAGTTGAAAGTATCAATTTTTCTTGAGAATAAGTCTTCAAAAAAAAGGTTTTTAAGGAAAAATTGAAAGTATTTATTTTCCTTAAAAATAAGTTTTTCTAAAAAATATTTTTGAGGAAAAGTTGAAAGTATCAATTTTCCTTGAAAATAAGTTTTCAAAAAAAAAAAAGGGGTTTTTTTGAGGAAAAGTTGAAAGTATCAATTTTCCTTAAAAATAAGTTTTAAAAAAAAAGATTTTTTTGAGGAAAAGTTGAAACTATCAATTTTCCTCGAAATTAGAGTTTCTAAAAAATTTTTTAGGAAAAAGTTGAAAGTATCAATTTCCTTGTACAAAAGCAATGAATTTTTGAAGAGAAAAGAGTTTATATCTAAAGCAATCATTTTTTTCTTTTTTCTTTTTATTTTTTTAAATTTTCTTTAATGTTAAATAATCCGACGATGGAGCCTCTGCAAGTGAAACAGTGTTTCCTTGAATACTCTTGAGGTGAGGGAATTTTCTTAATTTTTTGCTAAAAGTATTAGAGTCAATTGAGAATAATTTTTAATAATTAATTACTTGGTAAATTTTTAAGGCTTATTGGATAACACAAAATTAAGCTGGTACCATCTTTCAATAGGCGTTGTGAGGGTGTTATAACCTTTCTCACACGTAACCGAACTCCCGAACCCTGTTCTGGTTAGTAGACCTGAACCTATTCTTTTAGGGACCCTTAAACTTAGGTGTTCCTTGAAAGGATAGATTCTTTAGGTGGCCAATTGCACCTAGATAAAAAAGATTGGTGGCGACTCCTTCAAGTCAATGTCTAGCGATGGATCCCCGGATCTAGACGTTATGACAGCTTGGCGACTCCACTGGGGACATGCCAAGAGTCAGGCCAGCAAATAAATTTGTGTTACCCAAAAGCCTAATAAAATTGAACCTTTTTGTATATATTTTTTTACTTTATTAATTATGTCATTTATATGCATATGCATAACATGAGCTCTATACCCGAGCTCCGTCCCTCTAGAAAGGAGTAAAGTACCTATTGCTTTCATGAGGTTTAATGCCTCCGTAGTGGCTAACGAAATACTCCTACTCAAATTAAACTTTTTCCGCTTGTAGCCTGTAATGGGTGAGGATTAGGGTGCCTTACTAGTCTATGATGGACAATGACGTAAGGAGCAATTTGGAAACCTTTAGACTTTAACCTTAAACCACATATAGTGAACCTTAAGAATGCCTAACTATAGATAGAGCCATCATTCTTCCCTTTTAGAATTAACCAAAAGCATAAGGTTCATTCCTCTTATTCTGTGTGATGTTTTAATTTACTTAGTTATTTTTTTATTTTTTCTGGGCATACTGACCTTTTTTCTCATTCTCTTGCATTGGTTCATGTTCATATCATAAAGTTGCATAAAGAACATTTGCTTGAAAGATAGTCTTCAACAAAATTTTTCATGGACTCTACAGCACGACTAGTTTATTTTTCATCTGTATTAGTACCTTGCAAGTCAGCCAATGAAGTAAAGGTCCAGTCAGAAAAGAGTCAACTGAAGATGGGGGATTGCTTACCAATTGGATATGATTCTACCTTGTCTCAAGAAATATCTATCCTCTTCAAACAAAATAATTTAGAGGATTTGGTTTATATATGAAAGAAGATGAGTCCGTCAAGACAAGAGCAGTTATGCCAAAGACACGGGCATATAGCACACTTTCTAGTAGTAGTTGTCGATGATCAACTAATCAGAGCTGCAGCACAATTCTGGGATCCTGCATACAAGTGTTTCATTTTCAATAAAGTTGATATGACACTAACCATCGAAGAATATTCAACTTTGTTGGGTTTGCACCTAAAGACTCTCGATAAGATATATGTCAAAAAATACAAGTCAGGGTTTCGTAAGGGTTTGGCTCAACTCATGGGGATAGACAAAGAAGTTATGGATTCTCATACAAAGAAAAAACAAGAACACGTTTGCCTATCGTGAAAGTTCTTTCATGAGTTTCTCTTGCAACATGCCAACAGAAAACGGGGGTTAGATGTATTTGCCTTAGCTATATACGAAATAGTGATCTTTCCAAAGGTTTTGGGTTATTTTAAGATAGCGATGGTTGACTTCTTCGAGAGTGTGATCAATGGCTATAACCTTTCAACAGTAATATTAGCAGAGACTATCAGATCTTTGAGTTATTGTCGTCAGAGTGGATGGCACTTTATAGGCTGTGTGCAGTTATTATACGTATGGATGAAAAGCCATTTCAAATGGGGAAAATGTGCTTTCTCGAAGCTTTATGTCTGCAATTGAGCTCTGATCAAGGAATTCTATGAAAGTGGGTGGTCAAAAAAAAAATCTAAAAAAGAATGGATAACTTTCCTACAAAAATTGACCAGTACCGAAGTAAGATGGTTGGCCCCGTGGATGAATCGTGAACCTATGTTGTATCAGTGTAGGGATAATACAGTGGTCCCACTTTTGGGTTTATGGGGAGTAACAAATTATGCACCACTCCTAGTGAGAAGGCAGTTTGGGGCAGAACAGTTCATTCCTATGATGCATAGGCTTCATCAGTTAGATTTTTCTTACAGTGAGCTAAAAGCATTTCAGAGAATGAATGAGATGATTAAAGCATGGAAAAACCCCTAAAGAGTGAGTCCTGGATCATTTACTGATAAAGTCACTCCAAGGTATTTGGTTTGGAGGGCAAAATGAAGATAAGAAATGGTATTCACTTATGAAAGCTTTTAATCGCCAACAAGAGGAAAGTTGAAAGAGACACCATCAGAATTAAAGCTTACGACAAAAGAGTTTGAGTTTGAAAAAGATAAATTAAAGCAAAAAATCCAGAAGCTTCAAGAAAAAAAAGACCAAGTGGAAAGATAGAGCTGAAAGTCATGAAGCCAGAGATTGCAAGATTGCTAGAGAACGTGATACGGCTGTTAAAGACTTAGCAGAGCTATACCAAAAACATAAAAAGTTATGTGTGAGAGAAAAGGCCAAAGAGATAACCATTGTTGAGCTGACTGAAGAGAATGCAAGATTGAAGCAAGAATATGCTGAATTGAAAGAAAAAAGTACTCAAGTAAAGACAGAGAATGAAATGTTAAATAGCTACCTAAGCAGGCTAAGACATGAGTTGAATGAACAAGAAGACCATATTGCTGCATTGGTTAGAGAGCATAGAGAGTTATCATACCAAGTCTGGTGCGGTAAAAGAGAAACTTAAGAAGATAGAAATATATTGAGAACCTAATTACCCAAATTTGTAAAGGGGTATGCAAGGCAAGAGAGATGGTAGAAGAGGCAGAGGCATTAAAACAAGTGGTGGCCCCAGTAAGAGAGCATGGAAAGCGTCTATTAAACTTCATCGAAGAAGCCAAGGCCTAGTATGAGCAGATCAAATGATTTTATGGTTATAACTTTAGGATGATAAACTCAATGTAAATAAAAGGTTTTTTTTGGAATAAATGAAATCTTTAGTTAAATACCGTCTTACGGTAAATGTTCTTTGCATACATGCATTTTCATTCATTACATTCTCACTCATTACACTTAACAAATGACTATGAGATAGTCATATAAATTTGCTAATTCTAAGATATGATATTCAAGGTTCAAGGATAACTCTATCTAGCAAGAACCCTGTCCATCGATATAACACAAAAGCCAGAGCCAGACAAATGGAGCAAAAAAATTCTCACAGATTTGAAAAGTTGGAGAAAGCATAGAAAAA